CATTGCTAATGTCACATGGCAACTCAACTTTTATCTTTTTTTTTTTTTTTTGAGGTCATTTGGGTATATAGAAGTATATATTTTATAATTATTTTAATTTTAATTTTATATATGTATTATATTCATAAAATTATTATTTAATATTTTAATTTAAGAAATTAGTATTTTTAATTCAACATGAGTGTCCATGTAGCATTTTTATGAGCACTTATATTATTTTATTTTTGTTTTTTTTCATTTTTACTTTTACAATTTTTTGTTTTTATTTTTACTTTTTAATTAAATATAGTTTGTTAGAATATGAGTTAAATTTAGGTATTCACATGTTACACCTATATGATTTTATTATCTTTTGTCTTTTTTTTTTTAATTAGATAAATTTTACAAAAAAATTAGGTGAATATAGATGGTAAAACAAAAAAGTTTTAATATGTGATAATACGCGAATATTTTGTCTGGTATTTATAAAATTAAGATGTGATGTAATTCTACTAAAATTTTAACTATAATAGTTTTATATGTAAAAATAAGTAAAACAAGTACGAAATATATGATATAAAATATTCATTATATATATTTTTATAAGAAAGAAAATTTCATTAACAACTAATTAAAATGAAGATTACAAAAAGATTTAGGGATAGATCTCCATCACAATCTTACTTCACCAATCGCATAATCTAGCTCTAAATTATAAGTAAACAAATTAACCCCTCCTAACATGTTAAAATTGGTAAAAGCTACACTCCAAAGCTAAGTCGAATACGTCCCACACTAAGCTTTCTCATTAGGGGTTTAAGTGAATCAAACATGATATGTTCATTTATTTTTTTGGTTGTTTGAGATCGATTTAAGTTTAGTTAGGATTTTTGCACTATGTTTAAACTCTATTTGTTTAAATATTAAAATATAAATTAGGATCTACTCATGAACATTAAAAGAATATGTTTATGATTATGTAAACGAACTTGTTCACAAAGAATCAAACAATAAACAAATTATAATCAATTAAATTTAAACAAATAATTACAAATTTATAACAAGCAAATAATTTCAGCTTTACATTAAAATATGAAAATTATAAGGTAATTTGCTAATATTTTTCATCATCACTAATTAAATGAATGATATTCACGTAAAACATGAGTGAGTGAGTGAGTGAATGAGAATGTTATATCAGGTAGGTTTAAAGTAATATTAGGGTAAAAAGATAATATTATTATTTTGCTATTATCAAACAACAAATGAATTTTAAAAATCCATATACCAACAAATTTTAAACAATTCTTAACTGAACTTATTTGTTCGAGATTAGTTTATTTAATAAATAAAATCTGAAATATTATTTGTAATCATTTGTTAAATTTAATAAATAAATATAAGCAAATAAAAATCAAATTTATTCATAAACTAAGTGAGTGAGAATGTTAGATCCGTTAGGTTTAAAGTAATTTTAGGGTAAAAAGATAATAATATTATTTTGTTATTATCAAACAACAAATGAATTTTAAAAATTCATATACGAACAAATTTTAAACAATTCTTAACTGAACTTGTTTGTTCGAGATTAGTTTATTTAATAAATAAAATCTAAAATGTTATTTGTAATCATTTATTAAATTTAATAAATAAATATAAGCAAATAAAAACTAAATTTATTCATAAACTAAGTGAGTGAGTGAGTGAGAATGTTAGATCGTTTAGGTTTAAAGTAATATTAGGGTAAAAAGATAATAATATTATTTTGTTATTATCAAACAACAAACAAATTTTAACAATCCATAAACGAATAAATTTTAAACAATATTTAGCTGAACTTGTTTGTTCGTATTGGTTTATTTAATAAATGAAATCTAAAATGTTGTTTGTAATCGTTTATTAAATTTAATAAATAAATATAAATAAATAAAAATCATATTTATTTACAAACTATTCATCAAATATTTTATTCATTTATATCCTTTACTTCATTCTCAAAAGCTTTCATCTTTCTTAGAAACTTCCATAATAGTCATTGAAAGTCAATTTCAACAAGGAGAGAACCAAAACCATTATTACATGGCAATTGCAACCCAAATAAAATTTGCTTAAACCTCTATACAAAATGATCTTTCTACTTGGACAAATAAATGGTATTCTTTATAGTTGTTAGATGAATGAAATAAGTAAACTATTTACAGTGTTTTGCAATTTTATTTGTTAGCTTGTTTTACCATTTTTTATTTTTGGATTAATATTACAAATAGTTACTAAATTATAATAAAATATTTAATATAATATTTAAATTTTAAATATTTTTAATATGGTATATAAATTATAAATCTGTTAATTAATATAATACTTATTCTAATGTCACTAGCTCTAAGTGATGACACGTAACGAATAAATAATACTTCAAATACCACATTAGTTATTAGACTTATAATTTAAATATCACATTAGTAACTTTTAAAATTCAAATATTATATTAAACATTTTATAATAATTCAGAGTCATTCAAGACATTAATATTTTATTTTTAAAAATTTATTATTTTTTAATTTCTAATCATAGTATCTCATGATCTTACTCTACAATCAATATTTTGTAATCTTATTGCAAACAAATCTTTTAAAAATTTATATTTTATTATCACGTAATTTTTTCTGTTAAATTTTAAATTAACATTATTAAAAGTAAAATAGTATATATGTTATCTTTAGGAAAAAGATTGAAAATTTAAGGAAAATTAAATAAAAAATGACCAAGAAAAAAAATAAAGATAAAGATAAATATAAATTATTTTAGCTTCAAAATTAAAAAGAAAATCACAAAGGTTAATTGTCACTTTTTAAAGCACATAACCCGCAAGACGAATTTTTATAGTTTATCAATATTTATATAAAAAATTATTGAATACATTATCAATAAAATTTTTTAACTGCACAAGTGAAACTAATAGGATGACACATATTCTTTAGTATATATTAAAAAAATAAAAAAATTAATTTAAAAATTAAAACATATATCATCCTGTTAATTTTGTTTGTGAAGTTAAAAAAATTTCATTTATAATGTATCAAATAATTTCTTTATTTATATAATCATTAAACGTTTAAAATAATAAATTTGAAACAATTAATTTATATATAATTCCTTATATAAATTGTGCAAATGCAATTTACATAGTATGCACAAATTAAATAAAATTAAATAAATCATATATTTGAAAGAATATAGAAAATGAACTTCAAATCCACGAATACTTATAAGTATTTCAAACTCATCACTAAATAAGAATCCAACAAATCTATGGATTTAAAAATAATAATGGAGGTCATATTTATATTATGTTTTGTACAAAATTTATACTAATTTTGCAATCCAAATCCTTTACTTTAAATCCAAATTATCAAATACAATAAAATTATGTAAATAAAGTAATATATGAATTGTAAATTTTGTTATTAATAATTAAATAAATTTGCAAATGAAGGGGAACATGAATATATTTTTTGATGTCATGAATATTAATGTAAGTCAACGCATATTTTGAAACATATATTTTTCCATGCATCTTAATATAATTTTTTAGCAAGTATTTCATGAAAGCAAGATTATGAGATTTTTTTCTTAAAAAATAAAAAGAAAACTATATTCTTTGCTAATGCATTTGATATACGAGAATGGTGAAATTGAAAACGTGGGCATAAGCTGGTAGAGAATCTGGTAGGAGCGCATCTTTGGAGATATGCATATCCTATGGGCAAATTATTTTGATGATCCCTAAAATTTGACGTAAGTATTGTTTTAGTCCTTCAACTTAAAAAATAATATATTGATCCTTATATTTTAATGGTTATAACAAAATGGTCCTCGTATCAATCAAACCTTAGTTGAACCGTTAAATGAAAAGGTAAAAGAAAAATTATAAAGCAAGATAATAGATGATAATTCTATAAATTTTAGATTAAGAGATAAAATAATTATAAAGGAAATAAAAGTTTGATAAAATTTATGTTTTGGATATTAATTCTTATATATTTTTATTGTTATTTTTGTGATGCTAATTTTTAAATTAATTAATATTTTTATTTTTTAAAAAAATTTGTTAAGTTACAATTAAATTTTTTCATAAATTGAGCTATCAACAAGATCTACAAGTTAGGTTCAAATCAAGTTTTTTACATCATTTTTAAAATTTAAGCTCGAATTGATCAAAAATTTATTTTATATATTAATAAAATATTTTTATTTAATTTATATTTTAAAATATAATTAAAAAAATATAAAAATATTTTTTAATATTTTAATTTTTACTAGTAAAATGGGTTTATTCAAGTTTTTAATGGATGAGCCAAACTAGGTTTCGAACAAAACTTTGAAAGTGTCATCTAAATTTAATTCAGTTTATAAAAATATTTAGTTGCGATCTAAATAATTAATTTGTTATTTTTCTATTAATAAGTATAATGTGAAATTTATGCAAATATTTTATAACTAAAAACCTTAATTTTTGAAGAAATATTTTATGATAATGAAACATGATGAAATATTTTATAATGATTTATAATTTAATTTGTGTTTTAAATAAGCAATAAATAAATTTAAAGAAAATATAGGTAATTTTTATTTTCAAGATACAAATTTCTTTTTTCCATCCTAAAATTGAACATAAAAAATATTTACTAAAAAAATTAAAAGTAAAAAATAATTTTATTTTATTTAATTATCAAAATTTCTGGTATTAAGTAAAAAATTTTTATCATTATTTTTTGTAATTTTAACATTTAACGATTCAATTAATTATTTTACAAACAAAAAAATTTATTTCATTACGATCATCAAAATATATGGATTAGAGATCAAAATGATACTCACCTTAAACTTTGGGACCGTGGGAGGAATTTACCCATATGTTATTCTGGAAACTTCGATGTAGCCATTACGCTTTAACCACGTGGCAATCCCATTATCATAAAACGATGAACAAAAATATCAGGAACATTGGCCTACACTACAGCTTATAAAACGTTAATTAAACTAACAAAAACAGATAATTTTCCGGCACTCACCTTACTAAGCTCGAAACTCAAATTTTCTTGCAAGAAGCCAAGCATGTCCATTGCATCATCATCTCAACAATGTTTCCTGACCAATGCTTTTATATTTACTCGCAAACCCAAAACTAAGCCTGTCAATTCTGCTACTTTCATCTCATGCGGATACCACGCAGACGACACCAAAGATTCTGCCTGGTACTTAGTTTCCATGCCTCTCTCTCTCTCTCTCTCTTTTTGAATTCTTTGTTTCTTAGAATCTTAATGTGTTCTATGACTGAGGATTGTGTTTGGGTGCTGGATTTTTCTATAGGAGAAATGAGAAGCAGTTAGCAAAGCTAGCAATAGTAACAGTGGCAGCTGGGGTATTGACTCTGGGCTCAGTTGGTGATGCATCAGCTGCGAAAACGGGTGGTAGAGTTGGTGGTCAAGCGTTCCGGTCATCAGCTCCTCGCTCAGCCCCAAGAGCCAACAGTAATTCTAGGTAATTCATCAGTTGAGCTATTAATTTATTGGTGTTTGCTGATTTTGTTTAGACCAATGGTTTTGGCATCCACTTTAGTTATTAGATTGATTCAATGTTATTGACAAGCAGGAATCTTTTTTTATACATTATTGATGAATACTAAAGCTGATAATGTTACTCGGGTACTTTGATTTCTTAAATTTTAATGTATTTTGTTTGGATTAATTTAGATTTGAATATGAGCCATATATATATGCAATATAGGGGAGGGGGCCTATTTAAAGCTACAGATTGCCATCTTGAGCTTGTGAAGAAAATAGGGTTTGTCAGAATCAAGAAATCTAGGCTGTTGAGATATATAGACTTCAATATCAACGGATCCATATAGAAAAGCATATTTTCATCTAGCTGCTGAATAGGCCAATCATAACAGAAAGCTATACAAAGGACAACTCTAATAATTTAGGCTTGATTGTTGGACTCAATGTTTCTTTGACATCTAAACCAGTGGATGAAACCCTTGGCAACAAAGCTCCCCTTGTAACATTTATTTATAACCACCAAGTGTTTTCTTGATGCAAAATACATACTCGCTTTTAACAAGAATTTGAGCTTTAGATGGCGGACACGCTACCATGTTGTAGTGCTTATGAAGCCATTAAATTCAGCACACTTACGGAGTCCCTCTGTTTTTTAATCTTTGGTAGCTTGAAGCATAGTGGTAGGTTCAAGAGAAACAGTAGTTGGGAGCTTAACAGTAATGCAAATTCTTTGGTTTGAAAACACTTCTTTTTGAGCTAGTGTACATTGGATGAGTCTGAGGAGACTTGAGCGAGATTGGGTGCAGAAATGAGAGAGCGTTGGGATTGGAATTTGAAACAGTTTCAACCGAGGAAAACAGCAGTCATTTAGTCATCTGGTCGAAGTGGAAGACTCGCTGATGAATTCAAACCTGAGGATGTCATTACTGCAGAACCTGAATCAAAGAGAGAAATGGCTGTTGCACTTGAAGAGTGATTGTGAGAGGAACTTGAAGCATATATAGGAGGAGCAGATGCGGGAATAAAAGTATTAGTAGTAATCCATTCAGAGGCACAACTGGCTTTAATTCTAGGCTTCGATAAAGAAAAGTGAAGGACTCTTCAGTGACCACCATATGTCTTGACCTGAATATTTTCTAGGCAGTAGGATCAAAACACTTATATGCACTTTGACAAGTTGACCCAGATCCTGAAGTCTGGCCAAAGACCTTTGAGAATATATTGCACAAAACAATTGACACCTACAGGATTTTGAATGAGTACAAACTCATTAGCTATCAACTCCATAGTTTTCAGATATTGATTCCTCGGTCTTTCAAGTACAAATATTTATAGATAAAAAAAAAAGATCAGGTCTGTTGCTACACAAGATTGAATCTACGGTTTGAATAAAAATCAAAATGTTAGAATTGAAATAGTTTGAATCAATCAAATATCTTGATTCGCTTGACTGCCCCATAGTGAGTACAATCTAGTCATTTCGTCCTCTCCTGCCATTTTGTGAAGTAAGTTAATCAGATTTTTTGTAGTGTTATAAAACTTTTGGATGGCTGGTAACCTCAGCAGAACAACCACTGTTTGTTTTCAGACGGCTAAATTAATTTCATTGCTGAACTTGAGGTGAGGCCCGAAGTTATGATTGAAACTAAGGCAGATAAGAAATTATTGTTTCATAAATTAATTTCTTTGATAAGGGCCTGTCTAAGCCTATAGGGGAATAGAAGATGTGACGAGAAAATATTCCATACCAAAGAAGTTGATTATCTATGATGAACAAGAAGGTTGCAACATATTGTTTCAGGAGCTGTTGCAATCAGCAGTGCATGATGGCTGCTACAAACAAATCAGAGTATTAATTACCTTCATAAATTTTTTTGGGTGCATAATTACCTTCCTGATTTATGTTTGAGGAACCATAAACCATTTTGTCAAAGAACACAAGAGTTGTTGGAAATCTTCAGAACTGTTTGAATGTTTTGTTAGTTTTATCCCAAAAGCATTTTTTTTTTATTAATTAGGTTATTCATAAGAAAAGCAAGTTCTATGTTTTACGGACTAAAGCCTCATCCAAAGTAACTTATCAGCAAACCAGGGTTTGGTGTTTTGTCATGGAGGAACTCTTACTTGAACCAAGCAGAAAGGATTTGTTAAATACTCCTCAAAAGTTAAATTGCTATGTTGCAATTAGTTCAAATTTCATGACTCCAAATGCTCTGAATGAAATGTAAACTAATTATTTTATTTTAGCTTTAGCTTCATTTTCAAATTTTGATCTTTGACTTCATTCTTATCTTCATTGGAAAACTCTGTTTTGCTAATGCTTAAGATAATGTTTGTTCAGGACCAATATTTATGTCAATCCACCAGTCGCCCCACCACTAGTTGGAGGGTACGGATTTGGTTTCGGTGTGCCGTTCTATGGCGGCTGGGGTTGGTCACCATTTTCCTTCTTCGCTCCTGGTCCCAGTGTTGCAATTGGTGTGGGAGGTGGATTCGATACTCTTGTCTTCTTTTTGTTTCTTGGTGCTGTTGCAGCTGTTGTAAGGAGATTCCTTGGATCAAGAGACGAAGATGATTATTAGTATATAGATAGGCAAGGAACATTTTGAGACTAGGATAAAGTGATAAATAGAGTTGTTCTGTTCAAATATTGGTAAAGCCAGTGTTGAATTTAACTGTGAGAATGTAATGTATAATTTGATGAAATTTTGTGAATGATACAGCCATCCACAACATTGGAATTTTCAAAATACATGGAAAAACGAGGAAAACAGAAAAAGTTCTCACATCAGTTGTCTAGACTGATGTCTGGAGGGGTCATAACATTGGTCTATGAAGGGGTATTGAACAGAACTTTATTTACTTGTTTTTCGCTTTCAATGACCAAAGGAGCAGTCTCTTCTTTTGCTTCAAAAACACCTCCATTAGCACAATTTTAAAATTATGCCACTTAAATTGGAAGATGAAACCATGGTCATTACTTGTGTTTTAGGTGGTCGGGATTTTTCTGTCCAAGATTGTAAAGTCAAGGTCATTCATTCCCAAACTAGTTGCACAATTATTATACAATAATAACCATGGTTTAAGGTCGACAATTGTTATGCCATAATAATCAAGATTTAAGGTCCAAAATAAAAATAAACTCATAGGTCCAACAATGACCCGTACATCATCAAGGACACAACCTTGGGTTAAATATTATGATATTGGATATCGCTCCTTTAGCTGGCTTCCTCTTCATTTTGAATAGATCACCGACTTTGACGTAGAAGCTTTCCTCCAAGCCTGAACTCCTATATCCGTTGATAGTTTTTTTATTTTTTTAGTAGGTTCTTATTATCCTAATTAAATAATCTCTCTCTACATCAATATCTACAAGTCTAAAATGTTAAAATTTTTCATAAATGTACTACTATTAATTAATGACTTTAATAATTTAATTAAAATCGATTGATGTGATTAGTCTTAATATGAGATAAGTATGAAAGCTTAATTAATTTGATGTAATCACTTAAGTATGTGTTTTGTATATGGTTTGATTGTTAAATAAGCATTTAGCCTAGTAAGTTTTTTATGGGGAGGTTTTTAGGATTATTTAATTAATTAGTCTAAAGTTCTTTTTTTACTTCTATGAGATACAGTAATTACCCATTAAGTGCCCCCTAGTAAGAGAAGAGCGAAGAGAAAGATCTAACCATTTCAAGAATCAATTTGTTTTCATGAATTCGTCATGGCCACTTGACCAGATATGTGAAATTAGTTTATTTAATTATGGTGTTCTAATTATCACACAATGATCTTTGGGTTAGTGCTTATGTCACGGGTTCCGACCTTAAACTCAGAATCCGTGCGGCCTTAAACTTGAAATCTCCTCTTTTGTGCCTAAGTCAGCCTAAAACACAAGCGTGCAGGCACTAGAACAATGGGAAAGGCTGATTACGCCAGTTAAAAAGAAACAGAATAACAAGACAAAATGCTGGAATATGCTGTATATTCACTGAAACAGAAGTGTTTGATGGTGTACAAATGAGGGTGGAGCAACCTTCTATTTATAGTTGAGGCTCCAGCTACACTTAATGGCAATATCCCTAGAATAAAGGCTAAAATCAAGGGATTATATATATTACAATCAATCAGGATTCTAACTTCTGATTTCTAGGGTCAACCAAATCTGTCAGGAGGCTCCTGCTAATCCTGCATGCTTCCAGAAGCTTCCCTTGCATGTCCAGCACCTTGGGCCCTTTTGGATGTGGTGCGGGCTGCTTGCATGCCAGGCCTTGGTCTCATGGGCTGGCCTGCAAGCTGGGTGGGCGTTCTGGTCTCGTTTCCTATGCCTTGCGCGCGAATATCCACCAGCGCGCCTAATTTACGGGCCTCAACCTCTGGCTCACTTGCTGGTACGCTTGATGTCCCTGACGCGCCCATCCGGGGTGTGACATTTTCCCTCACCTGATTGCGTAACGCCCTCGTTGCATCTTCTGCATGGTACTGCTTGATCTGGTTCTCGAACTACCATAAATCATCTGCTGGTTCCCAACTCGCCTCACTGTCTGGAAGTCCCTTCCAGTGCACCAAGTACTCTTATCTTGGTTGGTAGTTCTTCCGTCTCACCTCTCGGTTAGCTATGATGCTGTGGACCTCCTTCTCATATGAGGCCCTTACTCCCAATAGGGCACGCTTTGACTCTGCCCGTCCTGGATCTCCCTCATCCTCATGAAACAGCTTGAGCTTGCTTATATGGAACACCGGGTGCACCCTCGGCTTGGGTGGCATATCCAGCTTGTAGGCAACCTTGCCTACCCTCTTGACTACTCGAAAAGGTCCCTCATACCTCTGGACTAGGCCTTTGTGCAGCCCCCTGTGGTGCACAATGGGATGCAGCTTCACCAACACCAAGTCTCCAACCTGGAACTGCACGTCTCACCTATTCTGGTCTGCCCACTTCTTCGACCTCTTGGCCGCCTTGTGTAGACAAACTCTGGCCAAATCAGCTTGCTCCTGCCATGCCTTGGCAAACTTGTAAGCTGCTGGATTCGACCCTGTAAAACCTACAGCAATCGAACCGGATGTTAGTGGTTGTTGCCCTGTCACAACCTTAAATGGGCTCTGGTTCATTGCCTCGCTCCTTTGCAAGTTGTAGAAAAACTGTGCAACATCTAGCAGCTTTGGCCAATCCCGTTGTGTGGCACTCACATAGTGCCTGAGGTAGACCTCCAATAGTCCATTCACTCGTTCTGTCTGCCCATCAATTTACGGATGCATGCTGGTGGAAAAGTTCAAGTCTGACCCTAACAGCTTGAACAACTCAGTCCAGAACCTGCCCGTGAAATGCCTATCCCGATCACTAACAATGGACTTCAGCACTTTTCAGTACTTAACCATGTTCTTCAGGAACAATCGAGTTGCCTCATCGGCTGGGCACTCCTTGGTTGCTGGAATGAAGATTTCGTACTTGGAAAACCTGTCCACCACTACCATGATGCTTCCAAACCCTTCTGCTTTGGGTAGACCAACTATAAAGTCCAAAGAAACACTCTTCCATGGTCGTTCTGGCACTGGTAATGGCTCTAAGCGACCGCCTGGTTTCTTGAGCTCCACCTTGTCCTGTTGGCACATAAGATAAGTCTTCATATAAGCCTTCACATTGTCCCTCATATGTGACCAGTAGTACCGATCCTCGATCAGTGCCAAGGTACGGCTCATTTCGAGGTGTCCAGTCCATCTTGAATTATGGCATTCTTGCAAAACTTCCTTACGGAGCTTCCCGTGCTGCGGCACAAACAGTCTACTGCCCCTGGTGTACAGCAAACCATCCTGCAACCAAAATTGCTTAGTCTTACCTTGCTGGGCGTACTCTATCAGAGCCTTGGCTGTAGGATCATGCGTAATCCTTCCTTGATGCGCGATACCAGTGACCCTTCTAGTTGGCTAATGGCAGCAAGGTTAGCTTTCCTGCTCAGGGCGTCTGCCACTAGGTTCGCTCATCCTGGTTTGTACTCCATCTGAAAATCAAATTCTGTAAGAAAATCTTGTCATCTCGCCTGCTTGGGGGACAGCTTCTTCTGCATCTGGAAGTAGTTGGTCACCACATTGTCCATCCTAACCATGAACCTCGACCTCAACAAGTAATGGCGTCAAGTGCGCAAGTAGTGTACCACTACAGTCATCTCCTTTTCTTGGACCGTGTACTTGCGCTCAGTCTCGTTCAGCTTTCTGCTCTCGAATGCGACTGAACGTCCCTCCTGCATCAACACGCCTCTTATGGCAAAGTCTGATGCATCCGTATACATCTCATACGGCTTGGCATGGTCTGATAAGGCTAAGACTGGCTCATCGATAATAGCCTGCTTCACCCTGTCAAAGGCTTCCTGGCACCCTGTGCTCCACTCTCATGCTTTCTCTTTCTTGAGCAAGTCAGTCAATGGCATGGCTATTGCTAAGTGACCTTTGATGAAGCGCCTATAGTAGTTGACCAGTCCAAAAAATTATCTCAACTCAAAGACCTTGGCTGGTGGTTGCCACTCCAGGATAGCGTGCACCTTGCTTTCATCCATGCGTATCCTGTCACCTTCCATTATGTGGCCTAGGAACGGGATCTCTTGCTAGGCGAATGAGCACTTCTCCCTCTTGACAAATAGCTTGTACGCTCGTAACATCTCAAACACTTGTCTCAAGTGGTCTACACCTCTTCTAAAGTCTGGCTGTAGATCACAATGTCATCCAAATAAACCACAACAAATCGATTAAGGAACGACTGACGTACCTTGTTCATAAGGGTGCAAAATGTTGCTGAGGCGTTCATGAGTCCGAATGGCATCACCAAGAACTTATACGAACTATATCGAGTGACACATACTGTCTTTGGCTCATCTTCCTTCGTGATCCTGACTTGATAGTAGCCCGACCTCAAATCCAGCTTGGTGAACCACCTTGCACTCCTAAGTTGGTCGAACAAGTTCGTAATGAGTGGGATGGGGTACTTGTTCTTGATGGTCAGCTTGTTCAAAGCTCGGTAGTCTATGCACAGCCGTAATGACCCATCATGCTTGCGCTAGAATAGAATCGATGCACTATAGGGTGCCTTCGATGGCCTGATGAAGCCAGCATCAACTAACTCTTTGAGCTGCTTCCTCAACTCCTCTAACTCTGGTGGGGACATTCGGTAAAGGGCTCTAGCTGGTGGCTTGACATCGGACACCAGTTCGATCTTGTGATCCACCTCCTTCTTAGGTGGTAACTTGCTAGGTAGCTTTACGGGCATCAACCGTTAAAGGTCTTCAGCACCTTTAGCACCTCCAAGGGTGACTCGGTCTCCTTCTTCCTTGGCTCATCATATTTCAGGGCTGCCAAGAAGGTGTCTTCTTGTCTGCTTACCACATTGGCAAATTGGATGGCTGACACCACTCGTGACCCAACTCTAGACCCTCTCCTCAATGGCACTAGGCATTGGCACCATGTATCCAGGATGCAAACACAATTGGCAAAAGGCACAATAAGGGCGTTAATCCGAACAAGGAAATCTAACCCAATCACAAACTCATAGTCGTCAAGGGGCATTACTTTTATAGTCTCTTTGCCTTTCCAATCTCCAAGTTGTAACTCCACTCCCCGTGCTACTCTAATGGTTGAAACCTTCTTGGAGTTCACCGTTTTAATGGTACCAATCCCTTTCTGCACCTTTAGTTCGAGCTTTCGGGCTCTATCACCTGAAATAAAAAGATGTGAAGCACCTGTGTCCACCAGTGCGCTCACCTTCTGACCCGTAACCATCAGATCCATAAACATCAAGCCCTTTAGCTTGTGGTTCCTCTTACTCTGGACAGCATTGAGCATCAACAACCCAAGCTTTGCTGCCCCTGACTCTAGCTTATCGT